GATAGATAGATAGATAGATAGATAGATAGATAGATAGATAGATAGATAGATAGATCTCACCACCACCACCTCCCAGAATGATACCTATCATTTCAAAGGCCTAAGACATCTAGAACAGGGGTGTCAACCTCATGGCCCAGGGGCCAAATCAGGCCCACAGAGTACTTAGATCTGGCCCACGGAGCTGCCCTGGAAACAGCGAAGGACCAGCCCACAGTACCTCTGCCAGAAAAAAACGGAGCTAGGGAGGGCTGCGTGTGGCTCTCCCGAGCTCTGTTTTCGCTGGCAGAGGGTTGCAGGAGACCATCACAGCTGAAAATGGAGCTCGTGAGTGCCACAAGCAGCACTCCCAACTCTTGTTTTCACTGACAGAGGGTTGAAGGAGGCTGTCGCAGCTGAAACGGAGCTCGGGAGCCTGTTTTCACTGGCAGAGAGCTCGGGCCACCACAGGCACCCCCAACATGAGTGACATCAAGCTGGCCATGCCCACCTAGCCACGCCCATCCCCCAGCCCACCCAAGTCAAACACAACCCTGATACAGCCCTCAAGGAAACAGAGTTTGACACCCCTGATCTAGAAGGTGCCAGACTGAAAGGCCATGAAATCTCTGGATAGTTTGCTAAACTGGTCCGAGGTTGAGATGTCCATGTTTTAAGCATAAAGGAACTGAGTAAAGCTTAGCTCAATTATAGCAATGCACATTAACGCTTGTTAATGTTTGATTGTAAACAACCTTGTAGACAAACACATTTTGTTTTGCCTACTTTGCTCATTGTGGCATGGCGTGGGTCATCTGAATTGTCACCACTGGAATTCCATTTTGTCTTTAGAAGAAAAAACCTCCTTATGAGTCATTTTCCTATCCAAGCTGTTCTCAGCTGCAAAAATCATGACGTACTGCTTACAAAGACATAGTGGTAAAAGCAAAAAGATCCCAATTTGGAAAACAAGTTACAAAACAGAAACCAATAAGGGGTCCTCGATGGCCTCTGAGCTTGGTTGT